GCTGAATGTACCCCCAGGGCGCCTTAGGCCGGGGCAGGCCGGGCCGCCAAGGGGAGAGCCCGTAGGCCGGCGCCTGTGTCGCCGAGGCACTCCCCTCAAGTTCTTCGAACACAAAGAGTTTTCTACAGAAACATCCGATGCTTCTAGAAATAAGTTGTTCTAACGGAACGGCGGTGATTTTTTTCCAGGTGAATTGCGATTATTCCTTCCCCCCTCGGCGTTAGAAGGGGTGTCCCAGGGCATTTCTCCTGGGTGAGGGCCCCGCAGCCCCCGGCCCCCCCCACCCTGCCTCCCGGGGAGCAGCTCAGGTCCCCCGGCACAAGGCGTTGTAATGGAGATAAAACCACCAGTGCTTGTTTTCACCCCAAGTGTCGCTATTTATAGCTTTGGCGAGTATGCTTGTTGCAGGCTTTTTTTCTTTTTTTTTTGTTTCTGTCAATCTGTCTTGGAGAGGCATCTGGGTGCGACAGAAATAATTTGCTGAGCCTTGGTAGTAGCCGTCTGTGTTTTGAGATGGAGGGGCAGCTCCAAATGTCTGTAACTCTAGCATCAACTCCATAATATTACTCAAAATAGTACGCATTTGAATTGCCCAGATTCCTCTGTTGAGTTGATCGTGCTTTTATGACTACTGCCTTCAGCTCAAATCCCTTGGGCTTTGTTCATTTGTTGTTTTATTTTTAACGGATACTAGAAGAGCATGCACGTGTTATGAGTAATCAACATCAAAGCGCAAAGGCCAGATTCTCCTTAGGATAATCATAATAATTGCATTGATAAGACTACATGCAAGTAATGCGTGGAGCTATATAAATCAGGTTAAAGTACAACCCCTAGTGAGAGTGGTGCTGTATACATTTGGCGATGCCATCAAACCCCCAAGTGTTCATACTTGTATCCAAATATAGTAAAGCCAGTTGCAAATACTGTTTATATTTTAATTAAACCGCAGAAAGTCAAAGAGAATTTCACCATAACTATAGGTAGTAATCTCACCCGCGAATGGTGAGGATATCTATTTATTCAGTGGAAATAAATTTGTTCTATGAGAATGGAATTTTGTATTAAAAGAGATAATTTTTGGCTTACGTTGAGTTACTTTTCTTTCCTTGTGTAGGAAACTTCCTTTTCCTTGTGTACTGGAATCGTTTGGGGATGATTTGCTCTGGAAGGGTTGACGACATTTACCTGTGATATCTAATGCGTGTTCTCATGACGTCTGTTTTGCTCTTTCATTGTGTTGAGCTGAGGCTGAGTGGGTGGCAGCACTACTTTCCACTGCAGGAAACAAAAGTGGTTCCACCATCTCTGATCTGTAGTGGGTGACTTTACGTGCTTCAACTTGGGGTACTCCTAAGCAATAGGGAGTATTAATGATAATTATATCATTATCAGCAGTATTATTGGTAGCATCAATAATATTGGGAAGGAAACAAATAAAGTTAAATGATCTGCCTTTACACTGGAGCTGTTTGATGGGTTACTATCTTAAATAAATACATTTTTTTTAAGCTTATTTCACTATTGTACAACAAGTAGCTGGTATCGACTTCAGCAGTCCAGCTTGTGGCAGTGCTCAGAACCTGGCAGTAAATTTTTCATCACGTGTTTGTTTTATTCTCTTATTGATTATATTGAAATTCTTCCTACAGGTGAAAAGCAAAAAAGGCCAGGTAAGTCCCAGTCATAGCTGATAATGACTGCATACAGGAAAATAGGAAGGATGATCATGGTGCTCAATTATCGGTGCTCTTTCATATTTCCTGGATATTGTCATTGATGTCACTGTCATGTTCTACCTGGGTTAAAAGATTTGTTTGAGACTTGGAAATTGCTTCATGGATCTCTTGGCTGTATCAATAGTGAGAGAAAGATGTTTATTTTTATGGTATGAATAATAATCTGATTTCTGGAAAGCAATCTATCTCTGAACATCTGTCGCAGCTAGCCAGGACTCGTGCTGCTCTAGTTAGGTGAATATTACAGACAGGTCATTTAACGATGAGGTTCAGTGGACATGAGTTAAGCTGTGGTGACTCCTGGGGTGAAACTGTGGTTGGTAACTAACTCCAGATTTTGTCAGAGACCTTTCCAGACAAAGCCACTTTTGAGCATGTCGGCAGAGCAGATCTCGTTTTAAGCTAGAAATGTGCAGTTATGGTCAACTTGTGTTCTCTGCTGTAAACTTGCACAGCCACAGGACAGAAAGGTCTCTACAAAACATCAATATGCAATGCTCTGTGTTTCTAAAACACTAATGTGTGCAAGCAGTAGTTTGTGAGTGCTATGCTACTTCTTTCTTCAAGAACCTACTTCACACAAACTATTCACACGCACATGATGTGATGAATTGGCTTTAGGTATAACAGAAATCTTCATGTGAATAAAGTGTGTAGAATTTGGCCATAAGTTTGGAAGTTCATTGCTTGGCTCCATTACTCAACCAAAGAGTATGACTCCTGGCAATGCTCCAGCCACTTAGGTGTGAACTTGTTCCAGAACTGCACTTCTTCCAAAGGCATTTGCTTTTACAACGTGGATTTATGTACGCTCGGAAATCAGGCTTCTGCGTGTTGTATATTCCTATTTTCTGAGTTTTCCAAGACTTGATTCTAAATCTGACTTCCTTGTAACTGAGCTTTACAGTGGATTTATGTATAGGTTGTACAGCACAACACAGGTTTTTTTCCGTGGGAGAAATGTAGAGAAAATTCACCCAATATGTTGTTTCACAACTTCTTCATATGAACAACTCTTTGTACAAAAAATATACTATTTTTTAATACTTTGTAATGCTGATGTGAGTGGAAATACTTTTTTTTTTTTTTCCCCAATTCTTGAAAACAGTCTGTTTTATTTGGGCAAGTGTAGCTATGCACTTGTTTGAAGCTTGTTCGAGCTAGTGGAAGAAGTGGCATCCGCTTGGAACAAGCCCTTGTGTGGGTAGAGAGAAGAAGCCTAATTCTGCTCCCTTGAAGCCAGAGGTGAAATACCGCATTACTGCTCAGTTTCAGTCAATGGACTTGAATGAAGAGCAGAGTCTGTTCTCAGAAAATTACAACATCTATTAAGTGGATTCAGGTATTTTGAGCCAAGTACTCCACAAGACTATTTCAGAACAAGATGAGTAACAGTATAGAGAAAATGATTTTGCTATCAATTTAGTAATTTTTCTGATTGATCTCATTCAAAAATTAACCAAACCATCTTTAGCGCTTCTCATTTTAAAATAAGAGCATTCGCTTAAAGAGAAATACGAGTGCGTCTCAACAGATTCAAGAAACATGGAAATTTGTCCCAGAGTTTAGACTTAATGTCATAGCTAACTAACTATGCTAATAAAACTTGTTTTATTAACATAATAATTACAAATTCTTTGGAAATACTTTATTAGTATTATCTTTAAAAGCAAGAATATTAACAGGCGCTGATCGCTGTGTTTCATACCTTTTTTTTTTTTTAATGTCTTTTTCTTGATCCTTATAGTTTCCTACTTTTAAAATGCTGTACTGCTATTTTTATTTTTGCTTAGGTTGTTGGAGGAGTTAGGGAGTTACCGATGAAAGCATTAGGTTTGCTACACGTGGTGTTCCCCAGAGGGCTACTGGGGTGAAACTTGTGGGCTGTCTTTGATCACTGTGAAAGTATTTGGAAACACTCCCCTGTGGTGGCCTTTTCTCTGTTAGATTGGTCGATATTGTGGTGGTTTTCAGGATGGTGTCAGATGGCTCATTTTTGTGGAAAAAATGATGGGAGGAGGCTTGAAGGAATGAGGCCCCTGGCATTGCTTTAGGAATCCCCTGTCCCACAGACCTACTGGGGAGTCTCTGGAGAGTGGATGTTGCATCAGTCTTTATATTTTTGAATGCTAAGGATTTTAATCTTAAGTGTGGGGTTATTTTTAGACATTATGGAGATGTATGTGTGTGCAATACTAAGATGTTGGGTGCCTTAAAAAGAGTAGATAATAATAGAGGGCATAGCACAATATAAAATATTAATAAGTCATATGTCATATACTGAATCTTTAATGACCATTTACTTTTTCTAACATCTTTATTTTTCTACTAGAATTTTCTAAATCTCTCAAGAATATCCTGTATATTCTATGAATTCTGAAGAAATATTTGAAGTTAGCCAAGGGTTGAATCTCTCCATATTTGGGAATTCAAACAAATACCACTAACTGTGGAGGAATAGTCCTGTCCATGGCATGTAGCGTGGCAATTTGGCGTGCTGTTGTAGCACTGTGCCAGTAAAAGTGGTTCTCTGTAGCGATGAGGTTTTGCAGTAGGGCTTGAATAATTTCAAGTAGGAGTTCCTGAACTGTGATAAATCATTACTGGACTGGGATATGCCACCTGAGATGTGCTGCTGCTTGTGATGGCACTGCCATCCCTTCTGCTGGTGGTGGGCACCATTGCCAGTGGGGGCTCCTGTAACAGGAATCCTAAACAAACAAACAAACAAAAAAGCAGAATAAAGGCTTGGGAGTCTTCATCCTACAGAGACCGTCTCATCTGAAGTTAATGACTTTCATCAAATGTTAAAGTGGCAATTATGGGAAAACATTTTTTTTATGGGATTATGGGATTTTTTTTTTTTTTCCTGCTTTCCTCAGCTTTACTCTGCTTTCTGGAGACAGTAGCTGGTTTACATGTTAAAGAACTCTAGGAATGTATTTGTTAATATATTTTCAGAGCATACTTGTTTAAAACTAAGTCAGTCTATCACAACAGTAACTTGTCCTAAACTGAGTTTTCTAGAAAGCTACATAAACCTTTGGTTTTGTACTTGGTCTCTAAGTTATTATATGTCTCTCTCTATATATAATGTCCATTATCTGAATCATCCTTCGACTGAAGTCTGTCATTGAACTTTGGCGGCTTTGGCTTTGCAAATCAAGGCCAATTCATGGTTGGGGGTTTTGTTTTATTCTTTGTTTGGT